CCCCCTGTTCCCTGCCCAAGCCCTCCTTGCTACCTCCTGCCTCCCTCCCCTTTAACCCCCACATTCCTATCAGTAACGCCTCTACACCACTCCCCTCACAAATACGGCATCTGCTTATCCCTGATAACAAGTACAACCGCTACCCCTACCCTACTCCTAACCCTCTATCCCTTAATAGTAACGCCTCTATATTTACGCCTTTAATGGTTTGTTGAACGGTAGAGTAGATTTCTTCCTATTTGAGTTTATAGTAAGTATCCCCCGGTTGAATAAGGGAGGGTGGGGCAGTTTGTAACAGATTTTGTAATTTGGCTTTAAAAGTTAAACCCCGGAAAAAATGGGTAAATCAGGCGAGTATAGATTGGACCTTTACTAAACATGAAAGTAGCGCGAATGTATTACTAGGCGCATTCTCGTATGACCTACAGCTTATTGAACAAAGGTCTGCATTTGTTACACACTTCTCCGTCCCGGGGCAGTGTAAAACGACATTGGGGCAGTGTGTAACAAAAGGAAGGATTGAGCACTGGGTAAAGCTGGAAAGGGAGAAAACAGCTTCTCCTCGATTTCTGCAATAGATGCTAAAACAACAACAGTTTTTATCAACAAATTGTATTGTTTGAAATGGAATTTTCTTAAGATTTACGAGTTTTCAATTGAAAACATCAAATTGGTACTTATTTTGGATTTATTTTGTCAAGTTGAACTATAAACATAAAGTTGTGCCTCAGTCAGACTGTTAGGGCACAGGCATATCATTGATCGGCAAATAAGCCGATGCGTCTCATTACACATTGCCCCAGACTTCCCCAGACGGGGGGGTGGGGGGGGGGCAGACAAAATAATGGGAGATAAATTAGTATAACGTTCAAAAACCCCTCAAAAATCAATCCTAAGGTGTAGAGTAGAATTGTTTGGCTTTGGCTTCTTGCTCGCTTCGCTAGCGAGTTAGGACGTTTACTTGATACACTAAATCGATCTACTCCTCTCAACGATTAACAAAAAATTCAGAGTGTCAATGAAAATTTCTCTTCGCTTCGCTCGCGAATTTTGCAGTTACAGATAATCTATTTGGAGAGCGACGCAGCGGACTGCCCTTCCAGTCTCCTGGTTATTTGAGGTCGATTCAGTGTAAATCAATATTCAATTTATAAATAAGGGCAATTTATAAAGATAAAAGCCCCTAGTCGGAAAGTAGTTAGTAACCCCCATTGTTACGGGCAGCCATCTTTACCCCCCATTGTTGCGGCAGCCATTTTATTTAGGGGGTGTCAGAAATTACCCCCCATTGTTGCGGGGTGCTAACCTAAACCTAACTGGTGATCTCATCAGGGCCTAACTTCAAACCTAAGGTGTGTGACGACGGTCTTATCAGGGGCTAACTCGTAGCTAACCTAGATCTTATCAGGGTATAACTCGTACCTAACCTAGGGGCCTAAGTGACTCA